TTTGCAATGTTGCAACATTGATAAATTTTCTTTGGAGCCAAAAAATGGTATCCAAACATCTTCAATAAAGTTTATTTCAATAGACTTTTTACACATTTTTTTAAGAACACCGTCAACAGTATCAAAATCTAGACTTTAACAATGAAATTATTTTAAAACTGTTACTTATATAGATTTCTCTTTTCTAAAAAGGAAAGTCTATATCTTACTGATAAGAGCACAAATCCAATTTTGGTCTTCGAATTCATCTTTAATAAAAGATCACTTATAACGTTTGGGTTAACACGGGCGCCTTTTTTTCATCATACTGTATATCTAATAATAGAATAAGCTCTCAAACCCAACAAATCGCAAAGCTATTATTTATCCTAAACATTAAACAAATCTAATTACGACGTTTCCAACTCAATGTCGTTACTAAATGTAATTAAAAAATCAGTTTGGCCCGAAATATCTTCGAGATAATCCGCAAATTTTGCATAGTCAACTAGAACAGAGAAGAATGACGTCAATGCAATGCAATGACGTCAGTCGCTAAAGCTGGAAACTTTAATGGTAGAACACGCAGCGAACCAGAATGCAGCCTATCGATTGCAACACCATATAATTGCAATAAAAACTCTCCAAGTGATAAATTTGAATGAACTAAACAGGTGCGAGAGACGCGGCCGGTCCTAGGCCAGAAATTGTACCTTTGAAAAATTTCTGCCTGTGACGGGTTCGCTCCTTCGCATCCAACCTTCGACGATACAAGTAATTAATATTAATGTTTGTAACTGGATATTGCACACGGAACTTCAACACTAGCGGACTTTGAAAGGTTTCGCAGTAATCCTGTAAAAGTATAAGGCTAGACTGCATTTTTGCGGTTTCATACAACGGAAGACAAGGGATACTTTCCCCCGTTCCTTCCTGTTTAATTTATTTATAGACAAATCATCTTGATTTGATTGGCCCTCAGTACTTGGAAAGTGACCATGATTGGGATTGAGCCGTTTTGATTTTCCTCGGAGGGAAAAATGCAAGAAAAAACGCCACCACTCGAGTATTGAATACAGATAAGTAACTATAATTACGATATTGGCTTTACCGGTAACTGGAGAGGGGGTAAACGTCTATATAAGGGATGAAACCTGATAAAAGTCTTCAGTTGACATCACTTGATGACAGTGCGAGAGTCGAAGGTGGCAAGTGATAATTTTTGAACGGTATCATAATCATTTAATTGTATTATTTGTCAATCATGCAGGAAAATCCTTATTTTTTGTTGTGTTATTGAACGGTTGAACGCCACGTATTCCTTCAGGTGCAAGAAGTACTTACTTATTTATTGTAATATATAGGCGGACAAAAAAATATTGTGTCTGGGGTAATACGGATTGCGTGTCGGCTAGTTGGGGACAAGTGTGTTTTAAATATTTTATAACCATCTGTTCTTCCCTAGGATACAGCCTTATAATTATTACGAAGGAATATCGTTCAACTGACCCTAATATTGATTTATATTCAAGTCTTTACATAATTTATTAAAAAATTTATAATGAACAACGTCTACCCGTCTTACATGTTACAATTTTTATATCATCCACCATGTCACGAAGGCAGCGTATAATTTCTTAGTCTTGAAACTTTTTGGAAATTGTAATGATAGTTGTTTTTTGTGAAGACTTGGCAGAATCTCACTGCAGCTGCTGGACGCTGCACAAGATTAGATATTTTAGAACTCTTGTGCGTGTGACAGCGGCTATTGTGGGTATTCCTATTCAACAATCAACAATTGAAGAAAACAATATTATGTTTCGGAGAAAAATTATCAGGCACGAATATGTTGTTTGTAGCCGCTAGACAGTAATCGTTGCATACTGTCTAATTATAATTAATTTTTGATGAGTCGAACACACTCTACGTGGAGACTCTTCATTCGAAGTTGTAAATAGTTGCATTATTTACAAGAATTGTTACGAAGTACTTTGCTTCAATCAAAAGCAATCGAAAAGTTATATTTTTAGATTGAAAGCAATTAATAATTCTCCAAGAATGTCCTTAAATAGATGGTTATTTGCATTATGGTGATGCAAAAGATTAATATCCATAATTTTTGTATAACTTATTTAAAATAGGAGTATTTTAATATTTGAGGAGGAGAAAACTTTCAAAATGCAGTTTGTCCATGTTTTTGTGAATTGAGATAAAGGTTTTCAAAGTTCTTTTGTAAAATCCCTAAGTACTCCAGCCGTAAAAGTAGTGTCCAATTGTGTCCAGTTTGTACATATTTTTTCACATTTATTCACACTGTTATAAAAAATTAAAATTATTTCTTAAAAGAAGGACAATTTTTGTTCTCTCCTGCAAAAATCCAAATTTGGCAATTGTATTCAAATAAAATAGTATATTAAAGTACAAATTTGAAATTCCGAAACGTAGTCGCGTAGCGGCAAATTGAGGAACAAATGAGTGCTTGAAGAACAACAAGTGCTTTATACTATTTTTTCTATTTTGCCACTTTATATCATTTTATAAATTGAAAAACGAAATTTTTAATTTTTTTTCTAGAGAATTTTGCGACGGTTGGCGACATCTATGTGGAATAATTTTAGGCGACTGCAAAAAATCAAAGTAATTCTTATTTTCACATTTCAATTATTAAAGCACTAAAATGGCGTCATTTGTGTGCTGGAATAGACTTATTCTAAACGCAAAATAGAAAAAAAATGTTACAAATTCTGTAAAAAAATTTTGTCAATTTTTTTTGACTTTTGACATTTATTTTATATCTATTTAATAATGCTAATAATCTTGTATATGTTTTTTTATAATTATTTAGGTACAAAAATTTTGCCAATAAAAACCACAAATAACATTAAACAGAGTTACAATTTAGGATACAACTTCCTTCTTTCCTCTTCTAATAGCCTGTAGCAAAAAAACTTGGAAAATAATTTTTCCTGTATAAGCTGTTACGAATTGGATCAAAAATAATAAAAAATTTCATATTCTTTTGTAATTTGTCCACTTGTTAATAATAATAAGAAACATTAGGTGTTGGACTCATAAAACTGAAACACACTCGGTTTTAGGTTGGTCAAAAATCTGGATTTTGGAAACTTGAAATGTTCCACTTAGAAAAAATTTATCAAAATATTATGTCGAAAAAAGGTACAGTTACGATATTAAAATTCATTCACTTCAAAAAGTTCACTGTAAACTATCTTTTATTGTCATCATGACTGAGATTTGACAATTAAACTTTTCTGTCAGTGACGCTATTTTTTAAGTCAAAATGACATAAACATGACAAGAGTAAAAAATGAGGTTATTAATGTAAAGGTTGTTTTAGAGTTTATACATTATGAAAATGACAGTACTGTCCAAAATTTTAATTCCACAACTGTATCTAAATAGTGTAAAGAACTACAGCACAGATAAGAACTTTAACAGTAATTATAATTTTTAATAAGCGTTTCAATTTCAAAGTATACAGTATGTCCCCGGATTGGGTTTACAAGAGGAAAAACTTTTTTATCTTTGATTTTATGCCAAAACTGCAAAGGAAAAACATTTTTAGCTTCATCTAAAACGAGCAAATCTGTATTTAAAACTTCATATTCTGATTCAGTGAATAGAAAAAAAAATCTGCTTTTTAAGGCCTATCACATTGGCGGTTTTATTTGACAACTATATGTCACTGTGATAATTAATTTATTAATTAAATAATGATAGTTCTTGTTAAAAGTGACTTTGTTTCTTATCTTAAAGCTGTTTCTTGAGTTGCCATTTATTAAAATTATGTTTTTCACAAACATTTTTGTTATTTAACTTGCGTAAACTCATTTGTCTCAGTGACATAATTGTCAAAATGATAAAACCGCCAATGTGATAGGCTGATAGGACTTAAAAAGCAGAGAAAAAACTATTTTAAGTTCAAAATCAAGAAAAAAATGAACTTTTCTTTCTACAGAGTTAGAATAATGAAGTTTTAATTACAGATTTGCTCGTTTCAGGTAAAGCAAAAAATGTTCTTCCCTTTTTGACGTAAAATCAAAATTAATTTTTTTTTCCTCTTGTAAACTCAATCCGGGGACATACATTTACAGAAGAAGTAACTTTTATAGTAAAATAAAAGATACATCTCGGGACTTTTCTATATTGCCAATCTGGTACTTTTCACAAGGCTTTTTTGTATGAAAGAGTGAAACTTTTTGGCTTTAAATTTTCCAGGAAAGTCCATTTGTAAAACAGATTCTTCTTTTACACAAAAATCAAATATTTGTGATGATTCATCTCAAAACAACGCAGTTGTGACGTTGTCAGTGCGGTAATTAAAAAATCCCAAGGTTTAATTAGTTTTATAGTTTAAAAATTTCGGTTTATTAAATGCTCGCACAAGCTCTATTTTTAAACTGTCTATAAAACTCTTGTTGTCTTAATAGCTATAACTTAAAAAAACACGAACATTGTGATTGAAAACAAACGAAATGTTGCTTATGACAATAATAAATTATCTTTATAAAACAGACAGTGAATAGGTATAATATCCAAATGAAAAACATACGCTTCTTTCGATTTTTTATTCATTATGTGAACTCAAATATTAAACTGTGCTTCTATTTTTTGTACAATTTTTTCTAATGACCTATCATTAACTTTTTACTTAGAGTATGTACTTGTAGCCCTAGTTATTTATCAATAGTTTCTTATTTAAGTACTTATTATTTATGTTAAGATTGTCTGTAACAAAACACCTATTCGTTTTTGAAAAAAAATCAGCTTACAACAACACTGAAAATCATAGATTCCGTAATGTCCTTAAATGAGTAGGCGGAGCATCCTACGTTAGGCGGAGATAGCTCCGCCCGAATGCTCACACTTTTTTGTAACATTTATTTTTAATCCGACATTTTCTTATGAAGTATCTTCCTTTTGATCTTTTTCCACAGAAATTCCTACTTCCGTGGCCTACACAAATACTTATGTTTCAAAGGTTAGGTAGTAAAACACAGTTCATTTAAAAGTCATTGTAATTAAACAGTGATAACAATATTTTACAAATGATAGGAACAAAACAGGAGATTCTCATTTTTTGTCACTAAGTAAAACATACCAAAAACTTGGTAAATAAATGAAATAGCAATTAAGTCAGAAATCATCCAGCTGGAATGTATGCAAAAAACCTACTTCTAGCATTATGAACACAAGTCATTTCCAAATCTTTGGCAATTAAGTACTAAAATAAAAAATATAAAAATATCACTTGTGAAAATTTCATCACATGTATTTTTTGTTGAAAGAACCAAAGGCCTAAACATCTAATCAACTCGATAAACAATCTGGATTCAATCTATATTTTTAGAATGGGCAACACATATATTCCTTAGGGCATGCAAAAATAGTATCTTTTATTTATTAAATATATATTAATTTTCAGGTATATTCCTCAAAGTTCCAGACTCGTCAAACAGCAGTGTACATAAAATTGCCTGCAATCGATTCCTTGCTGGTTCAAAATTCGAATCCAAGGCGAGAGCCGATCGATGAAACGATATAGCTTCCTCCAAATCGCCCATGGACGCCAAAATATTACCAACTGTGAAATGATTAACAACAAAATTCGGATTACTTTTCAGCGCCATATAAGCCACATCCAATGCATCATCGTTGACCCCAAACCTGGAAAACACCCTCAAAACAAACCAAAACAACAAGACCACAACCTTTGCAAAACATTTGCTAAGTTTATTAATGGCACATCTTTCATATCGTCGGGTACATGATTAAGAGCTAGCCGCAAACACACAATGGCTTCTTCAGTATTGCCCACAACGCGCCAATAAATCGCAGCTGCGGTAGCCAAAAGCCAGGAAGTTGTATTTTCTTGCAAGGCTAGCCCAATTTTCGCACCCAACTCCTCAACTGACGCTTTCTGGTCACCGGCCATGATACCCAACCATTCGGCTAAACTCTTATCAGGTGAAGTGGTAGATATGCTACGTAAAATTTTGTTCGTAAATTGTACCAAAAGACTGTCACTTTCACTGAAACTGGCGTCACTGCAATATGGTTTAGTGTTACGCTTTTTTGTATTTTTCGGTAACGGTTTCAAGTAGGGTCCAATACTGAAACTTCCACTTTACTAAAAGTGTGACACAAAAACGGGAAATTTTTACTCCAAGTTTCTAGCAGCGATTGATTGCCACATTGAAGTAAAGTGTACCCAATCGGCCTCTATTATCTGCTTACATCCTTGAGACGATAAAGAGTAAGTTCCTGATTTGTCATAGACGTGGAGAACGGTTTCGGAAGTAGAATCATCGCTAAAACCAACTGACCGGCTTTATTAGCGCGGAGGATGACTCCGGGAAACTTACCGTAAAACTCCGGTGTAGGGCCGGGAGTAACTTGGTCATCTCCTAGTAAAATCCTCATGTGGAATGGATGAGGTGAATCTGTTATCCGCTCTAACTGTGACTGGTCGGGTTCAATATCACCGGAACCTTCAGCAGCAATGATAGTAGAAATTAATGAGTGTTTAACTCCTGTTTTAAATTTGGCAACACCATCTACACACATTCATTAACACAAGCTTTAATTAAACATATAATCACCTTCAAGACTTTTCGTATGGAAACACTGAATCGAAGCAGTTTTGCAATCATCTCCATTGGCCGAACAGATCATACCTTGACCCTTAAACGACTCCTTTTCCGAACAAATCTCCTGTGGTAACTTCTCGTTTGGTTTCTTTACGGTGTTGTAAGTACCCATTTTGACACGACAGCCCCATATTTTGAGCAACAATTCAGCCTGGCCGTCGTAATATTCCGGATCGACACGTAAAACATTCTTCATGTAATACATCGCCATTAACGGATTACTCTCATAGTGTAAAAGAGCAAGTAAAAAATTTGTACTTGGTTCTACGTAATTCAGCTTAAATGCCAAATTCGCATACTTCAATGCTTGATTCACTAAACCTAATTGATGCACTATCGAACTAATTGAAACTAGAATCACATCAGTCTGGTCCTTCGGTGCAGTTTTTAGAGCTAGATCTAGACAATCAAGAGATTTACGAGTGTTGCCCCGAATTCGCCAATACAGACTGGCAAGAGTTGACAAAATCCAATTTGGAGCACTTTTCTACAATTAACCAAACTCAAGTTGAGTCATTTTTTTTTAAAAACAAACCTTTTCTATCGCTGTTATAATCCTCTGACCGATCTCAGCCTCGTCGGCTTTACCATTATTAACATATTTAATAAAATGGTTTCTCAAAAACTGATTACTTTTAATCTCATTGTTAAGAAAATGACGTTCGGATTGTTGAACGTATTTTTCCCCAAAAGCGTTCGAATCGTCACAAACTGGTGGATACCAAGGTAATTTATGTTCCGAACCATTAGGCAAACCGATCGAATCCGACAAAATTTTATTTATACTAGAAAACGCAACAATCACTTACTGATAACAAAGTAAGAAAAAAATTACTCGTAGCCTTTATTTTCCGGCGGCAAGAAAATCGGTAACTTTAAATCCTCTTTTTGACTGATTGGTAAGTCCCACTTTTTGCACTCTTCTTCTTGCGGCCACCCGGCAACATCGAAATATTTTTCTCCGGATGTTGACATAGTTGTGGGAAATTTCGGATACGTTTGTGGCGTATTTACGTCTTTGTTTTCGTTAGTATTTAATCGATTGCTTTTTGCCATTCGTTCGTTAATTTTCTGTGTTTCTGATTCGACATACTGAAATAAATTCTGTAGATTCATCGTGTCGAAATCCGCAATTGGACTGTCGATAAGATCACACGATATTGTCGACATTTTTTTGACGCAACGTTGACTCTTTTTCCCGAAATTCGAAATATCAAACACATCATCCTGAAAATTTCCCAGTTCCTCATCATAAGAAGAATGCTCCCACATTAACCGTTTACTCAGCCTCAACCAGTGCTGTTGTAGACTATGAAAATCGTGCAAATCAGACAAAATACCTTGAAGGTAGCCTAAAACATTCCTTAAAAATTTCCTCGATCGTTGTTGTCTTCTAGTTACAAATACTCACTCTTGAAAGTCGATTAAGTGAGTTTCGAGTTTAGAGAAACAAAGAGTTGCTTGTTTCATTACGTTAACTTCGTTATGTTCAGGTTCAAGTTCAAGGAATTTGTCGTAGTATAAAAGAGAATTGTTATAATCTCCCATAGCGAAGTAAATATTGCCTAAAGCAAGATAGTGCAAGTTTTGCTTAGATGCAGTCTCAAGTGCGGTGTGAAGCATCAAAGTTGCTTCTTTTGAACGGCCGGCTTTATGCAGAATGCCTGCTAAGTTATGTAAAGGGATATCTCTGTAGATCTTAGGGACGTAATGAAGTGCCCTTCTACTACAGTCTACAGCTTTAGGTCCGTTCCCTTTAATCCTCCAAAACAACGCTCCTAAATTGTAATGTACCCACGAGCTCGAATTCTTCACTAATTCTTTATGTATCTCATGGCCAAAAAGTTTAACCGACGTTACCGGCATCAACTTCTCCAGAGAATCTTCCGGAACCAAGGTGATATTATCATCACTATGCAAAGACGGAAACCGTTCATAATCCGGCATACTAAACTCGATTTTACTGTATTTACTACAATCAGGGATATGATAATTCGTTACACCGTCTTTCTCGATTGTTAAATCAACTTTAACGCGTTCACTTCCGTTTGTTGCAATATTATAAATGTCAATAGCGTTTAAAAGTTTGCCGTTCATCAAACAATCCGAATTTTTAAGTGCCACTTTTGACTCCATGCTTGGATTTCCTTGCAAGTTCGACCATTTTTCTTCAATGGTCGATTTACGAGTCATGAGTTCTTGGAGAACGGTTTGGACCTCATTCCAACGCTTTTCTTGGTCCAGAAGCGAGATCAAATCGTAGGGACGACGGAGATCAAGAGGAGACCCCACCTGAAAAAAAAAACGGCTCGACGACATACAACAAAATAACGGAAAAAAAACTCATTAACAAAATTAACCATCGACTTTTAAACTTTCAAAAAACGGTCAAAGAGCGACATACAAAACATACATGTAAAAGTATGTAAATACAAAACAAAATTCAAACTTTGACGATTAAATACACTGTTGACAAAGTTTTAGGTAAGTTTAACTTAAAAAAGAAAAATCGTTGATAAAAGTTAAGTCGAAAAAATCAAAGAATTGCTTCTCGCTGGCCCACTGCATCTGAAAATTTCACAATTTTGACGTTTTAAGTTCTTGTCGTGTGTTTGTTTTTTTAAAATGATAGGACAAGGCAACGTATCGTAAAATTTATTGTATGTTTTATGGAAAAAATTAAGATATTCGGGTACTTTTGGGGTGCATAAACATTAATGCTTTTTAAAAGCTTTTACACCTTTTTCAGTTGTTTGCTTTTGGACAAACAGCTAAACTTCTAGGATTCTACCATGTTTTCTAAGATGCCAAATATCCTTGTCCAGAAGTAACATTTTACATCCTACTCGAATTGAAATAATTGTCATTATCTTACAAAAACAAAACAAAAACATAAAAATTTTTGTTTTTCTCGCGCTATTACTTAGAATTGCGTAATAATCGTAGCACAGAAAAAATATTTGCCAAAAGATCTCAAAACTAGAAACTTAAAGCTTCAAAATGGTTACCGCCCTTCAAAAATCACCAACAAAATAAGGAAATTTTTTTGTTTCTTTAATTTTTTGGAGTAGTGTACATAAAAGTAAAAATGTAAAAGAATGTATGTAAACAGAAAACAAAATTCACACTGTTGACAGAGTTTTAGGTAAGATTTACTTTAAAAAAATCGTTGATAAAATTTAAGTCTAAAAAATCAACGAATGGTTTCTCGCTGGCCTACTGCATCTGAAAATTTCACAATTTTGACGTTTTAAGTTCTTTGTGTGTGTTTGGTCTTTTAAAATGATAGGACAAGATAACGTATCGTAAAATTTATTGTGTTTTAGGGAAAAAATTAAGAGTGAATTATTTTCAAAAAAAAGATTGCAGTTACGCCATGGTCCCATAACAATATTTTGTTTTTTTAGTTAATTTCCTAAAGCAGTTTTTTTACAGAACCTTGTTTCACAATTAAAAACAAAAAAATTAAAAATAAAACTAATATGTATATGCATATAAAGATTCTTGCCAGTTCTTACAATGCAATTATTTTCGACGTTTATCTTTGTAAAATTACTTTATTACTTATTAGATGTGCTTCATACGTCAATAGTTTTTTTTACAAAAAATTTTGCTAAAGAAATATGAGTGCATCCTAAATAAAATTTCCATTTGATATTGCGTTTTTTGAAGTTGAAATTCTCTGATAAGTTTACACAAACATCAAGAAAATCTTAATTAAAACACCCTATATTTGTATACAGAGTGATTTTAACCTTAAAATAATGTGCAAATATTTTAACAGGTGATAGTAGAGCTCAAAGTAACTCATTTTGTCTTATCCGAATGTTTATACTATTTGGTTTTTTGAGATACAGAGTTTTGTTTGTCGAATAAACTTAAAAGGGCATAGCCTTTAACTTCAGCACAACTTTTAACTTCACTTTGTGTTTTATGTTTATTATTTCACAAATCAAAGAATTTTATTTTTAACAATTTTTTATTACTTCAAAAGAAAATAAAAAATCATAATTGGCCGATGATTTTGAAATTTGGTGTAGAGGCCTAGATGTTGATTCTAAACAATTTTTCTTAATAATTTCTTGTCGTATTTGCTACATAAAAGAAACTTTATACCATACTAGATTTTTCAAAACTAAATTGTTAGAAATTAGTCTTTATCCAAGCAAGACTAAACCCTAAAAAATACAAGTTTAAATCGAGAATTTATAATCTTTTACAAGAGTCATTTCATCTATCCGGGGCACAATGGAAGGTTTTAGTGGTCGAATAAATTTTAAAGAGGCACGCAACCACTTCACCAACAAACTGTAAACAAATAATTATGATTTTCAAAGGTTTTTCAAAATCTATTACATTAACAACAGGCACAGAAAAAAAAAGTGTCCCCACATTAAAAAAATTATCAAAAGCAATTTTGCATCAATTTTTTGTTGGCAAAGATACTACAGAATTTATTATTAGCAATGTAAGCTTTGAAATAAAGTATAAAAAAAATGAAAACTTTCTTTATACTGCATTTTTTTGATAAATTTTCCGACGCCAAAATGCAATTCAACTACAAAATAAACAATAAAGTATAAACAAACAAAAAAAACAATGTTTTTAGAAATAAAAGTATTCAAAAACAACTCATCTAAAATTTTTAATTTCTCTTGTAATCATTAAATATGTGTATAATTTGATTAAACTCTATAATAGTTTGGTTATGTAAAAATGTAAACTGTAGATAGCACGTGAAACTCTGTACCCTTTCGGAACTATTTTATTTAACTGAATACTGCAGAAATAGTTATCTAGAATCAAAACACAATATCTTATTTATTTTGATATAATTTGTTATCTAGATAATTTATCATTGTACATAGTGTGTGCCAGTTAGTAAAAGGAAATATGGGAATTATTCATTTTATGTTAATCCAAGCCGTTTGAGTTAAAATATATCAATAAAAACACGATTTCACATTAATATCTATGAATTATTGCCAAAATTATAGAATAAAAACAGAACAACAAGCGCAACATAACCTAAAATTCTCATTAAAACCCGTTTCGTAACTTACATGTGACTGAATCATTCCTTTTTCGGTAACAACCCAATGCGTGGCCCCATTACTTTTAAAAACAAATTTAACAAACACAAAAAAAATCGTCCACAACCTTAATATCACCATTTTTACAAATCTTTTGACATTTATGTGTTGTGACAATTCAACGCATGACAGATCTAGTATGCAACATGTGTTGCGCAAGAACAAGAAACCGACGGACGCGACGCCAACTAACCAGGTATAAAATAAGTGTATAAGTGGTTGCCTGACATCGAAAAAATGGCTCATTCGCAAATTCGTCAAAATTTTCATAAAGACTGTGAAGATGCAATAAATAAACAAATTAACGTCGAGTTGAATGCTTTTTACACGTATCTGTCAATGGTAAGCACTTTTTACATTTATAGTCAATAAATAGCATGTCAAAAACCATATTGTGTAAATTTATTGATTTACGTATTAGGAAATACATTTTTTTTAATGCAACATTTTTATGTGTTTAATCTAGAGTCTAGACAGGAATTTGTAAAATAAACCGGTACATTTCCATCCTGAAATTTTGTTTACTCTTGCGTAACTTCTATTTATAAATATAATAATCATTTTTTTGTAAACCAAGGTTGCTTGTCGTTTAAAATTTCGCGCTTTTTCAGGCTTATCATTTCCAAAAGGATGATGTAGCCCTTCCAGGACTGCATAAATATTTTAAGGATTGTTCAGACGAAGAACGCGGCCATGCCTATAAACTCATGGAGTATTTGAATAAAAGAGGGGGTCATATAGTTTTGACGGAGATTCCAGCTCCTGAAAAACAGGACTGGGGGACAGCACAAGAAGCAATGTGTTCGGCTCTAGAACTTGAAAAAAAAGTTAATGAAGTATGATAAGATTCAAAAAAATGATTGCTACATAATTACAAAATATATGTTTCAGAGCTTATTAGTGTTGCACAGTACCGCTTCAGGTCACATGGATGTCAATCTGTGTGACTTCCTGGAGACACATTACTTGCAAGAACAAGTGGATGCCATTAAAGAAATCGCAGATCATGTGACTAACTTGAAGCGCGTTGGGGAAGGTCTAGGGGTGTACATGTTTGACCGCACTTTGGGTGACAATGAGTGATTTTTTGAATGCTTGGTAGCACCTATACGTTTCCAATAGTTTAGAATCGTATAATCAACCTGTACTTATATTTATAAATGTTACAGAGATATATGCAAAAAATTAAAGTAAGTTTGCAAATATTTCTAGAGAAAATAATATATTATGATGTTTACCACGGTGTGATAATGGAGAATGTTGATTGAAATAACAAGTCCGAGGACTGATAGAATTTCATGCTTACACTGAAATATTTTTTAAATGACTTTTAGCACAGTATATAAGTGCTTATGTAATCTTCTAAAATGTGATGAATAAAACGTCAATTATCAACTGTTTAATTTTTATATAGTATCAAACGGGAGCTTAATATGTGGGTGTTTTTTAGCCACATATTTGAAAATTTCTTTGTCGAAAATATGTCTCCCGACGCCGCCAGTGTCCACCAGTCTTTTCGCTTTCGTCAAAAGACGACTCAGTTCACAAATTGATTCATTTTGTTCTTTCATAAACTTCGAATCCAGTAAATCCACTAGTTGTTTATCATTGTGACATTCTGCAAGTTCCGCAAGATCCTCTAATTGCTATAATTTCTATAAATACTAAATTGAAATAAAAATATTCCACTTACTTCTTTAACCCTCTTCTCCAGTCCAAGTGCTACACCAAGAGCAATCGTTATATCTGTCCAATTACCATCCTCAGGTACCGTAATCGGAAAAAGTCTTACTTGTCCACCTCTCATAAGTTGGTACTGAACGAATTCAAGTGCGTGGTCTTGTTCTTCATGATACATTGCTTTAAAATATGACTGGCATCCAGGCAAGGCTATATCTGTTCTCCCATAGTAGCAAAACATTGATAAGTAGACCATACTAGCATTCAATTCTGATAAAATTTGATGATTAACAGCAGCTTCAACTTCTTCGGAATAATTGTGACGAAATGATTTGTTTTCTCGATGATTCGGCTTTTTCCCACTGTTATTTTTATCAGAACTGTAAAAGCGTGAAAATTGTGATTTTACGAATTGATTTTGCAAAAGGGGCAATCGACAAATTTGCGGTTTTATTTGGGATGAAATGAGTGTACGTGCGATATTATTTAATAATTTTTCAAAAGCCATAACCAAAATAATTGTCACATATTTGATATAACGTTGACACGAATAAAAAAATAACAGGTGACATTTTTTTTTAGTACTTTATCTTTGTTCTCTTTAAAAATTTGAAAGCCGGTCCTGTTGAATAGAGATTTGCGCATGCGTGTAACTCTTTGTGTGTAGTGTACGCAAATGGAGGTCTCTTCTTCAGGTTCATTATGGGTAATTTCCCAACTTCATTACTTTATTTTCAAAATAGAAACCTTAAAAATCTTACTTTTGTAGACAAAGCAGAAGAAGAAGCCACTTTTCAGTATTTTACTTTAAAAAATGAGGAGGAAACTTTTGTTAATATCTCCGATATATTGAACTTACCTGAAGTACCAGAGGATAACAATATAAATAACAAAGAAATATTTTATTTAACTTTTGATAATAATGAACTGGTACAAGAGGATCCCAATCCGGACGACTCTCTTCAAGGTGGGGTTATGGATAATATGAATGATTCTTCCAGCACATTCAATGGCACGGATTTTAAACTTATAACACTTGGAGATGGGAGGATGTTTGTGACTACAGGTTTCATCTAATTCATTTTTTACTTTGGCTTAATTGTTTTTCTAGATAATAATTTGGAAAGTTTACAAACACAGTCATTGATTGTGGAAACGCCTGAAGAAACTGAAACAATAACAGAATCTGGTCAACTTTCCAACGAAGAAGAATCTGTTGACAATTCTGGTAAATTTACGACACAGAAAGTTTAGTTAAATAACTCGTTTTCTTAGATGTAAATTATCAATTGCTTCAATTAGATGACGGCTCTCAAGCAATTATCACATTATATAAAATAAAAAGCGATGAAGTAAAAGAAGAGCCTCCAAAACAAGTTAAAAAGTTTCAGTGTCAGTTTGAGGGTTGTGACAAGGTTTATGCCACTTCTTACCATCTTACTGTACGTTTATCTATTAGTGTTTTCTTTTATTAATTAATATTGAAGGTCCATATGAGGAGCCACACTGACTGTAAACCTTACCCATGTTCTATTGACGGGTGTGAGAAAAAATTTTCAACAAATTACTCTCTTAAATCACATATTAGGACTCACACTGGTGAAAAACCATATGCATGTTCTGTCTGTACTAAACAATTTAAAACTTCGGGGGATTTACAGAAACATATGAGAATTCACACCGGTAATTCACATAGTTACGAAATATTGTGTAATACCCCAATTTTTATTTTCATTGTAGGCGAAAAACCATTTGAATGTCCAATTGAAGGATGTGGTAGGTCATTTACAACTTCTAACATCCGAAAAGTCCACATCAGGTCACACACTGGGGAAAGACCTTACATCTGCGATTGTGGCAAAGCATTCACGTCTTCAACTAATTACAAAAATCATTTAAGGATACATTCCGGTGAAAAACCTTACGTTTGTACAGTGGAAGGCTGTGGGAAACGCTTTACCGAATATTCATCGCTTTACAAACACAATGCTGTTCATATGCCTGTAAGACCACACATGTGCATTTTTTGTGGCCAGCGATTTAAACAAGAATCGGCATTAAATTTGCATAAGAGGTTGAAACATAATGTTGTTGTGACTAAAGACGGTACTGAAATTATTGTGAAAATAGAATAGTAAGAAAATTTATTTCTGTTTTTGTCAAACGTACTATTTATCAATTGTAGAAAATAACTAATTCGTTTGTATCTCTAATAAATACAATATGTTATAACTGTTTGTATAATAATTTTCATAATACCATATTATTAAATGTGCTTTATCAGAACTCTATGTGGATCAAAACAATCACGGTCGTTAAAATTTATCAGCCACGGCCGTTATTTTATGACATCTTATCAATCTTTATTAATTAACTTTAATAAAATAAATTAGTTTAATGAAAAATGGCAATTGCTATTTCCAGAAATGCGAAGGTCCGTTTCTGGAAAGATTCTCCAATTTTAAAAACTGTCATTTTTTTCGGAATTCTCCCAATTTTATGGATGCCGAAAAACACAATGATTTACCAAATCGAAAAATCAAAGGGCGGCGTATTTATACCAGTCTCCGACTCGTTTTTTAAACTTCACCTTCGGGAATAATAGCCATCATTATACATATATATTCGTTGAATAATATGCTATTGATTCACTAATTTTTTGCTAAATACATTAGTTTATAAATTGTTCGAGTTTTTGCACATTCGACTACATACTTATTCCTCTCCTGAAATTGTTTGATCTCACCAATCATGTTTGAGGGTGTCTTATACTCAATTATTCATAAATATGAAGCATTATTTGAACCTCAAAAATGACCTTTAAAATGATATTAATTTAAATAATAACTCGTGTCCTATCTCTACTGATAAGAATTTTACAGCCGTATGGAAATTTGTTTTTTTTTTGTAATAACTTCGGAACCATTTGACCAAATATTATAAAATGTGGAATAGTTACTTACCAGAACATACCTTTTGAATTGGTAATTACGAAAACTGGATAGATCTACTCAATTTCCGGTTCTATCCATTACAGGACATATTTTCTGTGTTTTTTTGCCTCTTAACATTATTTTTTTTTGGTCAAAACAATAGAGTAATCAATTTTGAATAAAAAACGCATAACCTTTAATACCTCTAAAATGGACCGTTTTAAAGATATTTTAATTTAAAGTGAGAAGTACACAACACTGAAAGCAAAAAGTATGAATTTTGAATGAGTGATATCCACGGCAACAAGTGACCATGGTCACATATTTTGCTGTCAGGTATCTGTCAACTTCAGATTGGACGATTATTAGACGATTAATCGAAAATATTTAACAAAAGAGTTTACCTCAGACTCTATATATAACTTAGAATAAATCCAAATGGATCTCAAACCATTTAATTCATAAAAAAATCACAAAAATTTATGGTCAAAAATTGAGTATACTTATCCGGTTTTTATAATTACTAGCCTAAAGGGTATGTCCTCGCAAGTAACTATTCCAAATTTTATAATATTTGGTCAAATGGTTCCAAAGTTATTACAAAAAAATAAAAACTTTCCATACCCACATTCCGAGGGCTGTAAAACTCTTAGCAATAGAGATCGGACACGAGTTATTATTTAAATTAACATCATTTTATAAGTCATTTCTGAGGTTCAAATATTGCTTCATATTTATGAATAACCCTGTATGACCTGCAACTGCTACAACTGAAAACTGAGGAGATGTATCCGGTTTTCGTGATTACCAGTTTAAAATGTATATACCAGTAAGTATAACTATTCCAAATTTTATAATATTTGGTCAAATGGTTCCGAAGTTATTACAAAGAAAACAAATTTCCAAACCCACATTCCGAAGGTTGTAAAATTCTTATCAGTAGAGATAGGACATGAATTTTATTTAAATTAACATTATTTTATAGGCCATTTTTGAGGTTCAAATATTGCTTCATATTTATGAATAAACCCTGTATAAATTTAATTGTTCAGTTTAGTGGCCCCTCGCTCGACCAAAATAATGAATTCTAATTATAATAATTGAAAAATCTGCTACACAGTAAGAGGTCCACACACATGTGATTTTGTAACAAAGCGTTTTAGGAACAACGGAATTGCTAATTACAATTACCATTGTTGCCGCAACATTTAAAATAAGAATTTAGTTTTTAAAACATTTTTTAAATTCGATTGAAGTGTTACAAACTCATTGCTATTGATAACGTTTCATTCGACACACGTCATGCCCATTGTGTGCTTATATTTTAAACATTTAAGGGAAATTTTCAATTACCCAGAGCATTTACTTAAGATTAACTGAATTTGTTTAATTTAAAAGATCAAGTTAGAAACATTGTAAACTACAAGTTTTGAAATCAGTTATGTAAAGAAGCACGCATGAAAATGTATAAACCGACGTATTTTTATCAATATTTAACAACTGTTACCGGTGAGTTAATTTTCAATCATTCCACTTCAATTATTCCAATTTTTTAGCACTATTAACGATTCTAACAGGTGGCATGCATTATGCGTGGCCATCACCATCACTTCCACAATTAACTTCCAACAATTCGAGTTTTCTTCAAATTACAAATGATGAAGGGTCTTGGATTATTATAATGGAGTTAATTTCTCCAATACCGTCGTGTTTTCTCGGTGCTTTTATTATTGATTTAATTGGACGAAAAAACTCAATTTTGTTATCTGCCATTCCGTATTTTTTGGCATGGCTAATGATTGCTTTTGCCAACTCTGCACTGATGTTGGGTGCAGCAAGACTCCTAGCTGGGGTATCAGATGGTATTGCTTTCACTGCTATACCAATATTCATTGCTGAAATTGCTGAAGCAAATATGAGGGGGTTGCTAGCAGCGGGAATATCAGTCTCGTGGATCTCTGGAATGTTGTTTATCAACGTGGTAGGAGCATATTTGAGTATTTCAACGACGGCTTTAATCTGCTCAGTGTTTCCAATTCTGCTTCTTCTGACGTTTATTTGGATGCCTGAAAGTCCATACCACTTGATAATGAAGCACGATATAGAGAAAGCAAGGGTCGCTTTGCGGAAATTTAAAGGAAGAAGCGACGTCGAGGATGAACTAACAAGACTCCAAGAAGCTGTCAAAAATCAGAATCAGAAGAACGCAAGTGTTTGGGATTTATTCAGAAAGAGGAACAACCAGGAGGCTTTAGGAATCGTGGCGATTGTTCGAAATTCGCAACAGATGAGTGGTGTGGCTGCTATAAGTTTCTATACCTTGTCAATTTTCAATGAAGCGGGTGATTTTATATCACCATTTACTGCGACTGTAATTTACGTGACCATTCAGTGTGTCATGACTGCTGTATGTTCGATACTAATCGATAAAACCGGTCGAAGGCCTCTATTGATTGCTTCTTTGATCGGTTCAGCAATCTCCCTTTTTGTTCTAGGGACTTATTTCTACATCAAAGACTTTACCAACATTGATATTAGTTCTTTTAATTTTGTACCACTTGTAGCACTGTTAGGATATGTAATTATTTTCAATATCGGTGCCCAACCGATCCCGCTACTTATCCAAGGGGAGCTTTTCCCCACAAATGTTAAAGCTTTAGCGTCCTGCTTTTCGGAAGTGTATTTTTGTATCATAGCTTCTCTGGTCTCTAAACTATTTCAAACTTTACGAGACTCGTTCGGGATGTATTTACCTTTTTATGGATTTGCGTTTTGTTCAGCTGTTAATTTAGTTTTTGTTATATTTTTTGTACCTGAAACAAAGGGAAAAACTTTGGAAGAAATTCAAGCTGCTCTAGGGGTAAAAAAGACAAAAACGGGATTTTAAACTCGTGACAGAACAGCAGTAATAAACCATAGTGATTATATCGAGTGAACAAATAAATTTAGGGTCGAAGTCTACTCTGCCAAACAAATTCGAGTTTGTTTGATTTTAAAAATTTGTGCTGTTACCATTTGTCAAACAAAAAATAATTAAAATTAATCAATAAAAACTTTGATTTTATAAGTTTTTGAATTATATGCGAATAAAACACAGCTTGTGACAATTTATCTTTGAAAAAGGTCTTTTGGTACTTGTCAGAATTTATTTGAGTTTCAAAAATAGTGACAGTACATAATTTTTTTTTCAAGCAGACTTGAATTTTGTTTTTCAAAGTCGACTTGACTCCAAATTTATATTTCATCGTACGATATAAAATTAATATACTCTTTGTGCTTTCTCTTAAAATTGTGATTAGTATTATTATTCTGTAACAGAATGGCGTTTGGAACCGCAATTTTAATAGAGCACCTCAAGGTTGTTAATACAGATGTATCTACTTTTTTAACGTTCGGCTTTTAGAGGATAGTGGGTATAAATACTCAAAATGAAAGAATCTTGAAAATTGATGATATGTAGTACCTACTAAGTAAAACACTTTTTTTATCAAACGCTTAAGTTTTGTTAAAATGAAAGGATAGAGAAAGATAGAGAAAACATAAAAAAAATAAAATGAACTAGCAGACTGATAACAAGTAGTTTAATCTTTTTATTTTTGTAAATTAAAGAACAAAGAAATAACAAAATTAAAATAACATTATGTAGGTATCTATTTTTAAATTAAGGCAAATAAGTACTCGTATCTAAGGATATCAAATATTATTAAATTACAGGTCTTATATTTAAAAAATATGATTGAAATACGCTCATGGTCACATTTTCAATTGCCTAGTATTGACCTATTGAATAAAAAATGAAATTTTAAAAAAAGTTAATTTTGTTTATTATTTTTTACCTGAATTTCAAAGTTCTGTCAAGTTTAAAAAACACTTATATTTGTTTTTTCACTACTAGCTGTAAAAGATACCATTATTTAGTTTGTCGAGAGGTTGTGAAGTTTATTTTCTCTCCTAGTAGACAATAATCATTTTCATTCTAAACCAAGGGTTATAATGTATTAGAGGTGGGTAAATGCCGATGTTGGAGGGTATTACATAGATACAAATATTTCTAGAATATTATTGAAAACTATTACCATCACAATAAGTACTAATGGAAGTATTTCAAGATGAAATCAATGCAAAATTAAATAAAAAAGACTTACATTTTTTCATTAAAAACATCAGAATAACCCCACTCTAATATTTCTGTCTATGTCAAAACTGTCAAAAACAACAAATCGTTTTATTTCATGTTACCAGTGTTACCATGTTCTGTGGTTACAAAACTATCGGTAGTGAGGCAAATTTTTACACTTTTTCCCTTTTCTTTGCAGTTTCTTTGTTATTTTAACAAATATTTTATATTATGAAGTTAGGAAATTCCTTTAATAGTTGCAAAAATGACATAACTTCATTTACGGTAAGAAAAAAATAATACTTCCAACTTAAGTCAATAACTAAGGTAAGTATTTACTGTAGGTAAGTAATAGTAAATTAACAAAAATAGTAGGTAGTTGTTAATTACCAAATTTTACATCTGAGACATGTCCATTAAATAGGGTTATATTTTTCACCGTTGTTTTTTTGGGTAATAAATGTCCTAGTAGTGAAATTTTTTTATATAAAACACGGTAGATAGCCTCGCATTTATTATTTCTCTCGTTGCTACGCATCTCGGGAACTAAACAGCTCGGCTATAAAAATCTCTTATCTACCTTGTGATATAACATACTATTTTGACCCTATTCTAGTAGATCTTGTGAAAATAAATTGAGAAAAGGACACTGTATTTAAATTAAGTTTTTTGTTAACTTGTTTAAATTATTTTTATCCGCAAACGTCACAAAAGTGACCACTTTTATGATTTAATGACACAGGTAAAAGTTTTACTTTTCAGACATGGCGTAAAAATACTGTTTTTACGCCTAGGCGTTTTCACTTACTTTGACATTTACCACTGTTGTCTCTTTCGCTTTTTCAGCATTTCCTGGAAAGGTACAATGTAGATTATCAGCATTCGACATTTTGCACTATAAACTACACCAGTTATTCACCAATTAAATCAATCAACACTTTCGAAATCTCAACACAAATTCCGAAACTGACGCGTGACGTTTGTTATGATTTTATTCCAAAGCGTCCTGATTATTGAGGTGATTTACTTGATTATGGGTGTGTTACTCTTTTCTCTCCATCTGAATCGTTTGCAGATAAAATAGTATATGTTATTTGGAGTAAAAGTGAGTTTATGTGGCTTAGCTGAATCCATTTGCCTCACTCCGTTCGGCAAAATGAACGTGCAGCTTCGCCACATAAACAATCACTTTTACTCCTAATAACATAATCTACTATTATTTACTATTATGTTTTTAGTGTTTATTTGTTTTATTTATTTTTTTTTAAATGACATTAGTGGTTTATTGTAACAGATGAGTTAATATTTCTACACACTTCTTAAACATCTCTTTCTAACTAAGTAACTGATTTGATGTGTAACCTCAATAGTAAAAATTTTTATTCTATGAATTAATTTGTTTGATAAAAGCGTCCTTCTATTTAAAAAAAATCTGTTTTTTTACATCTTTAATTTAATTAAAAAGAAGTGTTTTTGGGATGATATGGAAAAAACTTGACTCACTTGGTATAGAAATGAGTTCAGAATGCAGATTTTTAAAAATATTTTTATTTGTTTTACAATCGTACATAATTATTGATATATTGTACATAAAAACGAATAACACTTTAATGAGAAAGATTGGAAAATAAATAGAAGAGAAAAGAAACTGGCCAATAAAGTTCTAAAACAGTTGCTACGAAAAAAAGTAAGGCAAGAAAACGCAAGAAGTAACATAAATAAGGAAGAGTATAAATCTACAACTAAAATCACGATTTAATAAAATGTTAACAATGAAATTTATTTGTGCTGTTGTTGGATACTCGGGAGTTGGTAATTATAATTAATGACACTCTCCGCACTATTGTGACTGATTTGCGTCGGTCTGTAGCTACTCTTGCCGATGACAGTACTCACATCTTTCAACGACTGTTGAATAGCATTAGCTTGTGATTGCTGTTGCTTGTAATACTGGACTTGTAAAATCGACGGCACGTACGAATCCAACAGACTTTTGGGTTCACTCTTTGTGAACACTTGTTGTGTTTTTTCGGCCTGAGGCTGAGGTGCGTACTTGATGGCAGGCGTTACTTGTTGAGTTTGGACGTACTGAGTTTCCGGTACGACATACGCTTGTTGGTCATTGGTATAAACCACATTTTCGTAATTTTGGGTTTGTTCGGCTTTTGGTACGTACGATGGGACATACATGACGTACTGGATGCCTCCTTTGGGGTCAACCACGCTTTGAATGGCAGTACTAGGAGCAGAATACTGTTGGAGGTACACATATTGAGGTGTATAGTACTGCTGTTGGGCTTGGGCTATGCTGTTGTCAGTGACGTATTGCACGTTTTCGTATTGTTGGTAAGGGTTTTGGTGGTTGACTGGTTGCTGTTGTTGGTAGTAGTACTGTTGAGGTACTGTTGCGTACTGTTGAGAAGGGGGTGTGTACTGTTGAGCCGGTTGAGAGTACGTTTGAGGGACGTACTGGACATACTTCGGTTGTTGTCTTGCATAGTCAGCCACTGTTTTAGTGGGTACGAAACCGTAATCAGTTGGGGAAGCAACGGGGATTTTTGGGGGTGCTCTCGCTACTTTCCCGGTTATTTTCAAGTTGTCCCTTTCGATGTCTTCTAAACTGATCTTCTTTTCTTTACCCACGACCGACGCCAACACACAACAAAGTACCACGAAGTATCTCTGCAAAAGAAAGTGGCACGGACCGGTAAAACTGCATTCATATTTTGAGGGAAATTAAATGCGGCTATTATATTTCTTCATACAGTTATCTGTCGGGTGAAAGTGTATCTGGAATAATGAAAGAGGAAGCCGGACACACATGAAACATTTCAGTTTGCAAATTTATTAAAATTCACTATTTTAATAATGGGTTTATTGTGTAAATTTCTATTTACATCGTGTCGGACAAGTGTGAATAATTTAGTGATGTCGTGTTTTTCTACAAGAAATTAAGTGGGTGCAATTTATTGCACAAAATCTGCTTCGAAAGTTGCAAGCTTTACTAATGACCTAAAACTTTTTTAATGCAAAATACAACACAATAGAAATCTAATTCAACTAGTAATTTCTGCATTCGTCATCTTGTATTAATTCTAATGTGTCACTAAAAATAACATTCTTTCTCGTGATATCATTGTTAATTTAATAAGAGCATACGAGGAGAAAGTGTCTCGTCCATTTTTTATATCTGATTCTGTAATATAATTGTCTTGTCGGAAACATTAGGATACCTGGTGATCAGATTATGGGAGAGGCCGAATGAAATATAACACGCAATGTTGTGTTTCAAAACTTTTTTTTGTCTTCATTATACATATGTTTATAGAAAGGTAACAAAATAAAATATGTATACCTGTTTTCCAATAAAAAACTAGGCAATTTGGGGCTTTAAGATATTTCAAGAAATATTGGTTTAATCATTTATTCTAAAATTTCTCTAGTTTTACATTAGAAGTTATTTATTTGTAAGGTTTATGTATTTTCTCTTAATAAGTCATACTTGTCCCACTTATTGAATATTTACATTTTTTGTGCATTATAAGAAAAATTGAATCGTTTTCTACATGGAACTTGAACATGTTTCATAAAAAAAAATGGAGTGCATATTTATTTTTAATTTTTTCTTCAAAATTTTTAAATTAAAACGATTTATGATGCTTAGATACCTATTTAGTGTGTCATAGAGGTGCTCACACTCCTATTAAACAAAACAGAAGTGCTATCAAAAGACTGTAAACTTTTTGCCCAATTGTCAATTGAAAAAATGTTCACTGTTTTTACATTAAATCATAATTTGAAATTGAATTTTTAATTACGAGGTAATATACCTTCTATATGAAAAGAGAGGTGGTAGGATGTCGAAATAGTTTTGTGTAAAGGAAGAAATGCAGCATTGCAAATTTGGTTTCATTGGTTGAATTTGCGTGTATAGTGAATCCAGTCAATGGAAAAAAATTAAATTCCGGTTTTTTGCTTCTGTGGATGACTGAATTTTTAGTTGTAAATTTTTAAACGAAGAAAATGCAATTTTATAACAGTGGGAACTATTGGATATGTAAAAGCGTAACATAACATACATCATAAAAGTTTATACTCTCAATAATTTATGTCAGTTTACGTTTGTTTATCAGATTTTACATACAAAGCTTATTTATATCTCTTTTTACAATACTAATTCCTTATACTGTTTCTATGGTGCTTACCTCTCATGTTGCCGTTAAAATACGCTTCATTTATAAAGTCAATAGCAAGGTATCTTATAAGTCTATAAAATACGCTAATGCATATTTTTTTTATCAATTTTGACATTATTTTGACATACTTTTTTATAATAATTTCTGAATTTAGTAAAATTTCTGGTTCAAGTGTTGCAAAAGATCTTGAAGACAACACGAGTTTTATAGTTTAAAAATCTGAGCTCCCTCCGATCGCTCGAATTTAAACTACGACCTCGATTTTCAAACTGTCTATAAAACTCTAATTGTCTTAATAGCTATTAATTTTTTTAATTTGCTGTTTTTGCAATTTGTATTTTGCAATAATTATCACTTTTTTTGTAGTTATTGAGTTATTGATTATGAACTGAAAAAAATTAAACCAACTCTGTGTTTGTTTTTGAAAACATCATTTACAAGCTCTATTTCTATTACGTGTATTTAACGTGTTATTTTGTAAGTAAAAGAGTTAAAAACTTTGCTTTAAATAGAAGTTTTCTATCATAACTTTATTTTTAATTTTTAAGCCATTTATGGCTAGTATAAGTATCAGTTTTCTTAAAATAAATTACCCAAGTTAATTTTAGTCGAAACAGAAATTTTGTATTAAGTTGGATTACGCGCTTATCAAGCAACAATAGGCCAGTGAAGTAAAAACAAGTCATTCTATTATTCTAAAGAATTAACGTAACATTTTAACCATAAACATTAGAAACACAAATGAGTGGAAGTAAAATAATATTACGTTTATAGTAATTCCATCACTTAATATCTGCCACATTTATTACATTATATAAAATATAATTTTCACAAGTGGTTATAATTTATTTCAAAACTAGGTAATCACTGCTTGGTATATTATCACAACACTGGCACAATTGTCACTTTTGAAAAAACATGAAAGCGGTAACTTACCATGTCTGCGAAAGTGAAATGATACAGTTCGGTGGAAGGATCGGCACAAAATAATGATCCTCTACCATACGAACTTCCATTTGTACTTTCTTAAGTGAACGGAGACCACCCTACCAAAAGCTACATGGAATCTTCGGATGACCGGATGGTACGTATTTTTATGTCACACGGTAATCTCCCCATATTCCATGGCCTTAAGCTACAACATTTCAAAAGTAAATTTCCTGACGGCGATTTATTAATGAAGGTTGGGTCTGCGCGATATTTATTATTGTCCGTTGACCTAAAGGAAGAAAGTGATAAAAAATGTCAGACAGTTAATTTTACAAATTCTTGAACTGGAGCGCAGAAAATCTCAGTCTTCCATTTATGCGCTTCCTGTTTGTATTATTCGCCGGTCAAGTGTGGAAATCACATTTTTCCTACACTTACGTAATTGGATCACCACAGATGGTCGATGCTTCTGGCTACAGAGCTTTATGACTTGCAGTTTCGCAAAATTTTACGATTCTACATTTCAGCGTAATCATGATTCCGAAGGTGTTAATTCGCTTATTAGTTTTGTATTGAAGGTATTGATGAATTCCAGTACCGTTATTTATTTTCAGCTTTTTGCCTTTCTCTCGAATCATCTTCCTTTTGCCAGCGAAAAATCTATAATTAAGAGAGTGTACCTACAAGATATCGATTCTATTATTTGCCTCTCATCATGAAGAAAAATTGTAGAAAGGCAAGGTGCACTATTAATTATTACAAGAAGTCATGTCAAGGTCCGACACAAAGCCACGTCTTGTTCTCTTGTGTCAATTGCAATATTTGTTTGTTTTGAATTTTAACAATTTCTTTGTTTCTACAAAAAAACCTGTGTTAATTTACCATAACAGAAACATTTAGTGTGCTTGTAATTGTCTTAACAAATTGCGCCTTCATGATGTTATTAATGCGAAAAGTTGACCAAATTTCTAGACAACAATTAAAACTAAATCAGGTTTCTATAAAACCAATTAAAAAACGGAAATAGCTACTTAGCTTAAAAATCCTTAATTTTGGCAAATTAAGCGGTTAGCTGTCACCTAATCACTAATTTTATGTTTGAAACCACCGTCAAACTAGTAATAAATAATTATTATGATTAGTGACCCGTTAATGAAAACTTTCAGTCTCAAATGTTTCCAATATCCTGAAACTCCGTTTACGTAAAGTGATGTAAATCACTTAATTGAAATTATGGAAATTGCTCTTTTTTGCAAGTTGCATCCTGTTATGATCCTATAGTCATCAGCAATTTCCCTTTACTTTTACCATTGCACTACATTAATGTTTGTCTTTAATGAAGACACTTGTGATTATCCATTCACCACTCAAATCCTTTTTCTGTAGGAGATTACTCTCTCTGTAAGTTCAGTGCCATTGTCCATACAAACGCCCTTGGGTGTGTCTTTCCAAAAAAAAATTATTCGTGCTTTAGTCTAGGTTTAAAATGATCTAGCTGGGAGCCTCTTTAATTATAGGTGTTGCCGAAAATGACTTAAATTACATACTCTATGAAATTTGAGTATGATGGTTTTCCTCTTTTCATCATGCCCTATTATTAATGATTCAAACATCAGAAAGCAAATTTTATTTAAATAAGAAAAAGTCGTGGTATTTACATAAATGTTAAGATGGGTATATTATAATCTCCCGTGTCACTTTAATTCTAGAAATTTTATTTATAGATGTTTAAAACTAGAAAACTCAGCTTATCGGAAATCATAACACACGCCAATATACACTAAAAATATGCAAATTAAATGTTTTAGAATGGATATTCTAGTGGCTATCTGCGGGAGGAGCTTTTCTCGTTTATTGGTGGACTTGGTGAAAGCAGTATCATTGCAGAAGAATCTTATTGAGTTTGAGTCGTAAATTAGCAGAATTATGAAGTCATCTACTTTTATCTAAGTTGTTAATTTCGAATTTTGTTTTAAGATAGCTATTTAACCTGCCATAAAATTGATTACAGTTTAAGTAGCGACTATTTTCCTGTTTGAGTAAAATGTGGATACTATTCTATAGAATTCTTCAGAAAAATAAAATATAATCAGGTTTTTGAAACATGAAACAGGTGGATTAAAAAAATTATTTGATATTTAATAACGTTTCAGAAAAATATAACACTGATTTAAATTTTTTTTCTTAATCACAACATTCAGAACAATTTAAAATTAATATAATTTTGTTTTAAACTAATAACACTTCTTTATCCTCAAATACTTCACTCGTCAAAACTGCTTTTTAGATTTAGCTTTCCAGCTAAAAATCTTGAATGATCATATTTTTTTAATAATATGTTTTTTTTGTGTATTTTAATGTTTTATTATTACCTAACATAACACCCTTGTAGATAGATGTTTGTAAATTTTTAATTTTATAATGTATCACTCTTTTAATTCTAATTCAAATTCGATTATTTTTCTGTATTTATGTCATAATATCAACAAATTGCACAAAATATTAAAAATAATACTAAATAATTAGTATAAAAACCTGAATTTCATAATAAATTGTTTTCAACGCCCTGCTAATGAATAATTTTCTAATTACTTTTAGCTCACCCATTAGCACAGCACATTTTTGAATAGAAAAACTGAATGAACTAAAAACTAAAATTGTTGCGCTTGTGAAATGCAATTAATTTGCATTTTATTTGGTAATAAATCCCATGAAATATTTCAAAATTTAAAAACATTTAGTTAATACGAGCGAAATTGATGTAAACAAGGAATTAAAATTTTTCGCTCTTCATTAGATATTCATGAGGAAATGAATATGGAAATCGAAGGGAAAATCATTCCGCATTGTAAAACTACCTTTTCGTTACTGCAACTAATGAAAATTCGTAATAATTAAATCAGCTTTCATTTTTATAATTAACCTTTGGATGCAATACCCACTTGGAGTTTCCTCGTTTTCGAGTAAAGATCAGTAGCAAAGTTTGTTTTGAATAAATTTGTAATTGAATTTATAATAACAGCAATATTTTTTACAATTTGTGAGAAAATGCAAGTGAATGTCCGAAAACTATAATTAAAGGAATACTTAGAAAGGCGACCATCATTAATAACCCAACTACCTACCATTAGTTGCATTAGTTTGAAATAAGAAGTGTTAACTGAAATCACGAATTCACACTCCACATGCTGAAGTACATTAAGGCTTGGTTTTACTAAATTATCATAATTATAAAGAAAAAATTCTGAAATATTGATGATAACACAAGGAAAAAAGAAAGTTGAGATTATATATAACACGCGATATTAATAACAAACAGTGATTATATAACAAGTAATGAAATGAAACGTCTACAATTTCCGTTTTAACAAAAATCCAAAGTCCGGTTTTGAATCTCACGGGTAATTTGGTGACGAATACGAGAAAGTAAAAAAAAGTAATTCACTTGAGATTAAATATTCCCGATGACCATCGACATGTCGTATCCCGCGGCGGCTATAAGAGAAAGGTCATCTTATCACCTGCAGCCTTAATTTTTCCATTCAACTACTGAAATGGATGATGCCCACAAACATTTCACTTTCATCTACTTATCATCAATCTTTTAGTGACAAAATGAAACTAAACGGTTGTATGAAGGTCTAGCAATTTCCTGGTTTCATTACATTACACTTATTTGGAAGTTGCATTTGTTACTTGTCAATTATTTGATGGCTTGTGTAAGAAGAAATGTTCAAATTTGGCCAATTAGACCAATTTGCGTAATTCTTAAGTGATTTAGATGGTTTTTTTGTGTAGTAAGTAGTAATTTCTCCCACAAGCACATCCTGTTGTGCTCTATTTGTTTGTAACGGGTGCAATATGAAAAGAAAAAAAATCTATAACTAGCTGGGCTGAGAAAGTTATTTCCTGTATCACGCTGTAATCTTGACTATTCTTTTTATCTCTCGTTCTGTTTTTTTGCGAGTAATTGTAACACACTTAATAGAACGCGGATGCAATAAAGATTAAATCGATGAATATTTTTTTTTCCATCAAGATTCTGGCGTCACATTAAAATGTACCTTAAATTAAAGATATTGCAATAACTGAACATTTGTGACTATATTTCACCTTTCTTTTTCTGCATTAATTGTCGACAAGAATCTATAAAATAAATGACAATGAAATGGCCAACTAAAATGTCCTTCGACCACTCTCCTTGACATTAATTAAGGAAGCAACATTGAGGGAAAGAATTTTTAATAATTGGTAAAAGTCCAAGTTAGGTTGCACCGAGATTTTTATAATAAAACGCATTATAAAGAAGAAAGTACTTTCAATATTAAGTATGTTGTTTCTGGTCTAATCAATCTTGAAAATGAAAGATGAAAATCGTTATTTATAATGTTTCAAGTTGCTGATTGGTAATAAAATTCGTTCGCCAACTTCTCACCGAAGATCAATAAAGTATTTACATTTATGAGTAATAAATTACTAGAAATCCTACTTATTTGGAATTGTCTGTGTCAATGAACGTCCTCAACATTTATCACAGTGAAATTCGCTACACATCCGTAGCAATTAATTATAACTGGAAATGATTAAAGGGTAGGAAAATCTGCAGTTAGAAAGTTCTCTTTTTATAATTACATTTGGAAGATCAACAATTAAAAAAGTTACTGAAGCATTTTGCAACGTCCACGATTACGTGTTTCACATAGTCAACATGCCTAGTAAGAGGCAGTTTTTATTATTTTTTTACAGATGATCAACTTTCTTCTCAGCTCTACATTTCTCAATATATTTTTATTGCAACCGGTGGCCATTCCCTTTTAAATTTCTAATGCTCTGACCATCACCACAGGTGTAGGCACGGAAATTACCAATAAATAGTAGACATTACACAAGTTCGAGTTTTTTTTTTTTCAATTAAAGACAAGATAAATAAAAACAAACAACAAAATTTTAGTAGTTTATTAACAGCAATATAAAAATATAATCTAAGAAGCATTTTAATAGCTAAGTGCAAGTTACGTGCATTTACCTTTCATTAAATTTTACAAGAGAATGGAATACTGATTGAATTATTTACAATGAAAATCTGAATATTGTAAGGTAAACGCACCCTTTGTGTTACGAACAACGGGCTAAACATGTTGCTACCAGGTAACTACCACCTCCATCAGTCTTAAGCCACAGTTAACTCCCAAAAAATGGTGGCGTATCCAGAAAATTTAATAAATAATGTGCCTCTATTTTACAAAGACTAGCTACGCCACTGTTCCAAAAACGAAAGATTTTTACAAATATTTAATTTTTTCCTTTGACATAACGCGTCTTCAGAATATCTCCTCCTGTTTGTGAACTGATTGTCGTAACTGGTTCAGACTTAATCTGGGGACTTGGCACAAAATTGCTGTTGTTGTTGTTGTCTTGCTCTGCGACATATTTGGCAGAATATTGGTTAGGGCTCGAGACTGCATGGAAGTTAGTCCCTAAATGCGAACTCAACTGCGCCTTAATCTGGGCCTGTTGTTCAGGGGTAAAATGTTCGAAACCAGTGACAATAGCAGGGGCCGTTTTCATCTGAGTTGAAACGTACTGTTGAGCTGCAAGCTGTGCCAAATGGGCTAAATGGCTCAACCGAGTTGGTTGTTGGTGCTGTTGTTGAGATTGTTGGGTCAATTGGCTCAACTGAGCTGGATGTTGGTGTTGTTGTTGAGATTGTTGGGCCAATTGGCTCAACTGAGTTGACTGTTGTTGAGTCGAATATTGAACAGCAGGAGTGGGGATGGGGCTAGTTTGGGTAACCAATTGTTGTTGTGGTGCCAAAGTTTGGTATTGAGGGGTTGCCACTTGTTGGTATTGGGGGGCTGCTGTTAAGATGTAGTTAGATGGGGTTGCCAAAACCGGGTGCATGTAAGTGGCAGTCGGTTGAACGGTTTGTGCTTGACCTGTTTGGGTTTGAGTTTGTTGGTAGTTTCCGTGGAGGAGTTGGTATTTGGCTTGGGGGTTACTGTGGAAGTAGTTGAGGAGTTGTTGTGTGGGGTTGCTGTATACTAGACTTTGTGGCACAAGGGCTGGTTGAGCGATGATGATCATGGCTTGGGGTTGGGAGTGTGGCACGAAGAAAGGTTTTTGGATTATTTGCACAGGGACGTATTGGGTTTTTTGATTGAGTTGTTGCAGCTGTTGGTATTGGTGAATGGGTTGTTGGTCTGGCTGGAGTTGAAGTTGTTGGAACTGTTGTACTGGTTGTTGGTACTTTATGGGGTGGTAGAACATTTCATATTTTTGGTTGGATTGAATTGTGTTGGATGGAGATGAAGTCGTTTTTGCTTTTTCTTGTTTGTCTACAGCGCTAGCTTGGACGATGCACAGAATTAAAGGAATGATGACCTGAAAAAAGAAAAAAAATATTAGGTTTATTTATAATTAAGGTGACGAAGATGAAACATAAAACACATTTAAATTACCGGAGGCAATTTATGTCACATAGGTAATAATCTGTTTGCGATTTGGCATGAAAACATGTAATTTACTATCATCAAAATTATAGGTAATGTCTAGAAAGAGGCAGCAATCCTGTCGTAATTGTTCAAAAATCTAAAGCAATAAATTATTATTTTTTATTCATTTCAACTAACATTTCTATCGGTTTAGACAAACTAGGCGCGTACTATTTTTTATAATTATAGGAAGAAACATTTCAATAAATATAAAAATAAAAATATTGGGTGCGGTAAGAGAAGGTACAGATGTTAATGTAAATTGGACTGAATCACTTTCACTTCAAATACACTTTCTGTTGCAGCTGCCAAAAATAATGAATTCACGCAATAATTTAACGCTAAATTATAAACAAAAGTTCTGCTTTCGCCACCGGAATGTTTTACTGGTTGTATGCATTGTTGTTAAAAAAATAAGTTTGAGTAAGAAAATTACAGCTTTTAGTTTAAATTAAATTCAAATTACACGGATTTTAATGATGAGAATAAATTGATTTCTTGTTTCTAATGGTAAAGAGTAAAGTAATTGGCTTATTTCCGGTGCTTTACTTAAGTGAATTATAAGAGATCAAGAGCAACAACAATTCTTATCAATTACGCGTAAATAAAATTATGATTATTATGTAAAAATTTAAGAAACAAATATGTTTTTCATGGTAATCAAGCAAAAGTTATCAAATTAAATATCAAATAATATTTATTTTGTTTCAGGGATTTGTAAAAGTAGCACTTCCATAAATTTGATTAATAATCCATGAAATATCAAATTTTCACAGGATTTTCAAATGAACGTTTTCTAAAAATATTATTACTAAAATTACTTTTACTATTTTGATTTCGTTCTTGTTGTAATCGTTATATTTATTGTTGTAAACACATTTTTTTAATCGTGATTTTTTATTATGTTTGTTCTTACTATGTATAATTAATTGGAAGAGGTAAAAATAAAATAAATATGCAGTATATATTTTTATATAACTAAGATGTCAGGTTACATTATGACAACTTGATTGGAACATATTTTTATAAAATGATTATTTATTTCTAAAAGTACGCCAATTAATTATTGTTATGACAAGATGAAACAGTGAAAGTTTTAATAGAAACAACACATTTCAAATAGTCAGATGTACTCGTACATCGTTATTAACAGAAGTAAAATTATTCAATTATCATAAATTCGTAAACGATTGAATATAATTTATTATTGAATTGGATACCTAATTATTCTCAATTCTCATTTATTAAAATTTATATATATATTTTTTTATCATAATTAAAAAAATATATTACTGAATAGCAAAACGTTTGCTTTTAAATTTCTTTGGCCTTAATTCTTTTGTCTCCTAATTTTTTAAGAGTAATATTAGAAAGTAAATCATTACATGCTACTTTTGGCACAGTTTTTTACTTAATTTGTTACCTACGTATTTTTAAAAACTTTATTTATTCAGTCACTAGTTCACGTTGAAAATAAGTTTTTATAAACTGTCTACTTGTAAAAATTATTTGCACTGTTTTAGGCTTGCAATGTTAAAAGCACATGCAATGTAATTCTAATACAACTTTTGTTTGAAAATATCAGGTGACTAAAAAGTATGGAACTGTTTATTTTTTGGAAAAACTAATTAATGAAAGATAAAGTACTATAAAAAAGTGATGTTTTATCAAAAATAAAACTTTTCGAAATTTTATTGTTTCTGAGTTCT